TATTGAATCCCTGTCTCAAAATAAACAATAAAAAGAACTGTGGGTGTGGCTCAGTGGTAGAGAACCCCTGGTTTCAATACCCAGTATCCAGAAAAGAAAAAAAATGAAAATTCTCACTGGATATAGATTTACTGGTTGGTGGTTCTTTTCCTTCAACACTGTTTCAATTCACTTAAGTGCATGCTTGGAGAAGTCTGCTGTAATTTTCTTGTTCTCCTAGGCTGTCTGCTTCATACCCCAGCTTCTTTCAAGATTTTCTTTTTGCTTTCTTAAATTTACATATGATACACCTCAGTGTAGATTTTTATTTATTTTTTTCACATTTATCTGCTTGGTGTTCTCTGTTCTTCTTGGATCTGTGTTCTAGAATGTGTCATTAATTTTGGCAAATTCTTGGCCATTACTTATCCAAATGATTGCTTTCCTCTTCTCCTGGTTTTCTAATTTTGAGCACTTATATCTTTTGGAATTATCCACAGATGTCACATATCCTGTACTTCTCTGTATGGTATCTCTTGGCTTTTCAGTGGAAGTTTCTGTTGATCTATCTTCAGGTTCACTGATTCTCTCCTTGACTGTCCAGGCTACTGATGAGCCCATCAAGGGCAATCTTCATTTTTGTTTATTTCTATTTATTTTCTTTTTTCATATTTATTAGTTTCCATCTCTCTGCTCACATTACCTATTCTTCCATACTGTTTACCTTTTCTTTAGAGCCTATTAATCACAATTATTTTAAAAATTCTCTCAGAGTACCATGATCGGTCACATTTGCATCTTATTCTGATATATGCTTTATCTTTTTTTTTTTTTTTKGTACCAGGGACTGCACCCAGGGACACTTAAGCACTGAGCCACATCCCAGCCTTTTTTATACTTTCTTTAGAGGCAGGGTCTCACTGAGTTGCTTAGGGTCTCACGAAGTTGCTGAGGCAGACTTTGAACTCATAATCCTCCTGCCTCAGACTCCTGAGCTGCTGGGATTACAGGCATGTGCCACCATGCCCAGCTGCTTTATCTTTTAATAAAGTGTTTTTTCCTGCCTATTGGCATGTTTTGTATAATTTTTTTGGTTAAAATTCGGATACATTGAGTAATAAGAACTGAGGAAGTAGTCTTCAGTGTGGGTTTGCTGCTCTGGGCTGTTCCCAGGTTGCTGCTGTAGTTGTGGGTACAGAGGTTTCACAGTCCCCAAGTGTCCCTGGTTGGGTCTCCCCTTTAGTCTTGGGGATGAAGAGCTTCTCGGATGGTCCGAGTTTTGCTGCTCTTTGAGCTGTCGTCCACTGTCATTTATACTGGAGCTTTTGCTGTGGGGCAGGGGAGGGATTCTAGAATCATGTCAGTAAATCTCAGTCAGCAGTGGACCCGMGTCCCTTCCTAGCCACTTCCTCCCAGCCCCTTGGGAACATGAAAGTCAGAGGAGAACAGGAGCCAGAGAGGGACCTTTCCCCAGCTGCGGAGGCCCTGAGGTGTTGCCCTTCCCTTCTCCAGAGAGCTGCAGGGGTCTCCTGGGATCCTACAGTGGGAACTGGTGGGTTCTGGTGGGAACCCCTGTGCTGGTTTGAGGGTGCCCTAAGACCACAGCACCACGAGTTTCTCTCACTCTCGTCCACACTCAGCCCCCCAAAGTTTGTCCCAGTCAGTACTGAGTGTCCTACCGTTCATGGCTTCAGCCTTAGGGAATCAGGTCCTAGCTGTGCTCTCGGAATTCCCCTATGTCTCTAGATTTGGGGTTGGTTTGACCTGTGACCTCAGTTGTCTGATGAGTTTGAGAAAAGTCTCCAGTTTCCAGTCTGATTGGCCTCTGCTCGTATTCATGGGAGGGATGGTTTCCAAGCTCTGTGCATGTTGKAGCTGAAGCTGGAAGTCCCCCTGTGGCTTTTCCATTGGTGCCCTGCCCACCTGCCCACCAGTCTCAGGGGCTGGGTTGACACAGACCTACCCCCCCACCTTTTCAAAAGCACCTGAGAGAAATCACCACTATGCAGTTGAAAGTCCCCACCCCTCTGTGTGTCTGTGGAGTTGCTGCACAAACTCCCTGCCCCCCTCTTTTGGAGTCACCTAGAGTCCCCCAGGCTGCTTCTTGCAAATTCTGCTTGGATTCTAACRCAGATGTCTTAAAAGTGCCACGTGATGGGCTCCTTTCTGATCTCCATCAGCATCTCCATCACTATGCCTTTACCTTTGCTAGACAAACGTGTCATTTCATCAGTCTCTTGAAAACAGAGCTTTAAGCCCCCTTGCCCCAGCCCGGTGATCTTGGCACTGAGCCCCCCAAGCTGCCCGTGGCTTCTGCATCATGTGTCAGCTCCTCTGTTCAGCAGACAGCCTGCCTGCCCCCTTGGTCATCTGACACTCCATATCAGGAAGGGGACAATCAGGAAGGGGACAGGGGCCTGGCCAAAGGAATAGCTGCTATAAAACCCACATGGCCTTCCTTCCTTCTGCTGGGGAAGTCATTAGAAGGGCAGGTGAAGGGGGGAGTAGGTGCTGGGCATCTGGGCGCTGGGAGCACAGGGCGAGGAGGGCTCTCCTAGGTGGGTGTTGCAGCTGCAGAAAGGTCAATCAGGGAAGTAAATATATTGAGGGTCATGGAGACGGGGCTTCTCTGTTGAAGAGAGTTGCAAACAGGGAAAGAAACAGTGAACACGGGTAGTGGATGGCAGCTGGAGGCATTGGTATGAACTCAGCTTTTCTATATGTAGAGTATATGCGCGCGCGCACGCGCACACACACACACACACACACACACACACACATAGATGCCATTGTTTCAAAGATGTGTTTGCCTGTGTGTAAATATATGAGTACATATGTACATGTGTACACCTGTCTCCATTGAGAGGTCCTGGGCATGACCTTTTAGCAATGAGTCTCCAGATATAGGCTTTTTATTTTTATTTTGTACCAGGGATTGAACCCTGGGCTGCTTTACCACTGAGCCACATCCCCAGCCCTTTTAATTTTTTTTATTTTGAGACAGGGTCTCGCTAAGTTGCTGAGGCTGGTTTTGAACTCGTGATCCTCCTGCCCCTCTTCCTGAGTCACTGGGATTACAGGCATATATTGGCTTTTGTATAAAAGTCCTCATAAAAGGAAATAGAATTCCTTGGAAAAATGTCTGATTTCAGGGCTAGAGCAGGGAAAGTACAAGATGACGTTGGAATATTTTCTTGTGCCAGAAAATATGAAAACCCCTGAGGATGTGTCCAAAGGAYACAGAGAGCAGCGTGAAGGGCTTCCTACCTGCCAAGCCTTGGACAATCAGAGCCTCCAAGTMATAACAGTAATGCATTATAACCCACTGAATAAAAGAAGGAAAAATGGGACCATACCAATAAAAATCAATAAATCGAAACTTTGAGGAATAGGAAATCTACATGATTTTATGGTTTTTCTGTAGGAGAATTGTTGATTCCAAGGGGAAAATAAATAACTTCATGGTGCAGAGGCCTAGCAATCGCTAACTTAATCAAGAAATCATGTGAGCCTCCTCAGGAATGGAGCAAGTTGAAACTGTTTCCACCTGAGAGGAAGTGACGAAAACCAGCATCACTTCTATGATCCCGCCAAGACTTAAACCTGAGTCTAATCATGATGAAGCATCAGCCAAGCCAAAGCCGTTTTGCTGCCCGAAAAACTGGCCAGGAGTCTTTGAAACCTTCAAGGTCATGAAAGTCAAAGATGTCTCCTGAGAGATGTGATCGCTAAATGCAGTGTGGGATTCTGAACGGGTCCACTGTGGCAGAATCCCAGGCCAGGCAGTTCTCAACTCCTGATGGCTGGACTTAGATTCTTTGATTCTACAATGGTGCGAAAGTGACCTGTGTTCAGTAGAAACCAAACACACAGTTTTGAACTTGGATCTTTTCCTAGGGATGTGGCCTGGTCCTCTCTGATGTGAGGCAGTTGCAGGTCCCAGCCAGCCTCGATCGAGAGGCTAGGAAAGTGACAGTGTGTGTGCCCTGCTGCCAAGCTGGGAGGAACAAGTGGGTGTATCCCATGTGTTTCCAAGTTGCAGTGCGTTTGCCTTATGATGGGTTTATCAGGACATAACCCCACCATGAGTCCTGGCGTATGTGTGTGGACACTTGGAAACACATGAGGGATCTGGGGCTCAGAGGGTAGGAGTGTGCCAGGTTCATTTCCTGAATTGGTCGGCTGCACTGTTGTGTAGGAGGATGTCCCTGTTTGTGTGAAACGTACAYCACACACTCTGSGGATGGTGGGGGTGTAAGTCAGTGACTTATTCCTTAATGATTCAACTTTTCTGAACATTGGAGATTGTTCAACAAAAATAAACACTCTGCAGGCAACTTAAAGCCCTTCTCAGGGCCTGCTAGTTAGGGAGCATGAGTGAGGTAAGGGGAAGGGCTGAACCTTCTCTAGGGAGGAGCAAGTGCACTTGTCGCCTGCCATTCATTCAGGATGCCATTCATCATGGCGGAGTGCCAGTCCTTCACCTGCCACCTGTGCCTTATGRTCYGCGAGGGACTTGGATGTGTTTTTGTATTTCTCACGGTACCTTTCTGGAGTGGGTAGGAATTAGTCTTTCACATGGGATGTAGATCCTGATGGTGATAATAATGGGCCACTCTTACTTGGTACTTCTTATGGGCCAGCAATTGTCTAAGTACTTCTAATGATAACTTAGTTTTCATATTTACCTTTAGAGGTATATTGGGATTCCTTTTTCTTACAAATGAGAGGAAACCAGTGCCCAGGGAAGTCAGGTGACTTGCCTAAGGCCACACAGCTTGAAAGTGATGGAGCTGGGGTTCAAATCAGGCTGTTTGACTCGAATACCAGATTCAGGGGGAAATGGGTGCAAGGAAGCAGGAGCACTAGGCCCTCTGGAGCTCACACCCTTGTGGGGTATGTGAGAGCTTCGGGTGAGTGACCATGCTGCCTCGCACACGTCAGGAGTGGCAGCAGGACTGGCTGCTAGGCTGGCCAGGCCCCAAGCTCACAGATATATTGTCTTCTCTTTTCCCTTGAAGGTCGCCTGGTGGGTGCTCTGGACGCAGTGCTGGATTCCAATGCACGGGTTGCTCCGTTTCGAATTCTGCTTCAAGTTCCCGGGTCACAGGTGTATTCTCCCATAGCATGTGGTGAGTTACTGAATGGATCAGACGTTTACTGGGCCATAGCCACTGGTGAGTCTCGTTCCGTTGGAATGTTCCAAACCCTAAGGTCCGAGCATGCTGAGCATCTGCATGTGGGTGAGCCTGAAGGTAACCCCCGGGAGCCTCACCTGCTTTCCAGGAGCGCCCTGTGTTCTCCTCCTCCACGTGTCTGTCTCTTTAACCATTGAAAGCACTTAACTCTGTGAGTGCAGCCATGCCAGGCTTCAGAGTGGTGGATTCAGAGCACTCACACAGTGTCGGGTATGAAATGCGCATTTCCTTGGTAGTCTTGTTTCTAACTTAACAGATGAGTTCCCCGGTGTGTGCATGTGTGGTAGTGACCTGGGGGCAAAGTCCGAGGGTTGCATCTGACTTGGGCAGTCTCCACCCCATGTTCCATGTTTACACCAAGAGAATGAATAGTCACTGGGCTGCCAGTTGCTGAGGAAGTTTAGAAGTCCCCTCCTCCTCCTCCTGCCGGTCCTGTTCCTCCTGGGTGTTAGCTCTGTAACTGCTCATGTTCCTGGCATTATTACAGCCCAAGAAGCTCCTTCCGTTATAAATAAACCCCAAACCAGGTCTTCCTACACATGTACTAAGTGATCAGCTTTCTAGAGATTAAAAAAATAGGAAAAATAATTATCTGTAACCCTTTATGCAGTGGTAATCTTCTGTTTACACCATGTATAGAGTCAGAAAAGGTTTTAGTTTTTTGGATTTTTTTAACACTTTATTAGCTACCATAAACTTCCAACATCACCTCCTGTGTACTGGCAAAATTTCCCTTTTATATAAATACAGAATGTGCAAGCAGAAATTTCTCATTCACCTCCACTATCCTGGTCCTAACCACTGTTCACATCTCAGTGTTTCTTTTCTAAGCTTATTTTTTTCACTCTGTTCCATTATAATTGAACATAATGGGACTCATCATGACGTATTCATACGGTCACATAATATAATTTGGTCAATTACATTTCCCAGTACCTCCCTGTTTGCAATTAAGACAAATCATTCTATTTTTATATAAAGTGATGGAAAAAATCATGTATGCTCAATTTAAAGAAACCAACATTGAAAAGTACGAAGAAGAAAATATCCAGCCAGGCATGGTGGTGCAAGCCTATAATCCCAGCAGTTTGCAAGGCTCTGCAGGAGGATGGCAAGTTCAAAGCCAGCCTCAACAAAAGCGAGGCACTGAGCAACTCAGTGCAACCCTGTCTSTAAATAAAATACAAAATAGGGCTKGGATGGTGGCTCAGTGGCTCAATCCTTGGTACGCCCCCATAAAAGAAAATATCCATTGCCACAATCCTAACCATCCAAAGTAATCTCAACAATAGGTACCAAGATAGGTAGAAGTGCTGTTAGGTAATGTAACTTGCCTACCAGTTCTATTTTATAACAAAAGTATGAGGTGTAGTTGATTTCCATAAAAAGAAAGAAATGGAAGTAAGACCAAAAAAAGATTAAACTTCAAATAAATGTTTAATGCAAGAAAGATTATTTTCTTAAAAGTTTCCAGTAAGGTTAAGAGAAGAGATTTTTGAAAGCATTGTAAGGTTAGACTCATGGTATTTGAGAAACAGTGCTTCAGTCTATGTTCATTGACAACCCATCCTACAGGACCAGGGTGCTGCATTCTTTTTTTKGGGTACCAGGGATTGAACTGAGGGGCCCTGGGCCACTGAGCCACATCCCCAGCTCTATTTTGGATTTAGAGACAGGGTCTCACTGAGTTGCTTAGTACTTCACCKTTGCTGAGGCTGGTTTTGAACTCACAATCCTCCTGCCTCAGCCTCCCAAGCCTCTGGGATTACAGGCGTGCCCCACAGTGTCCAGCCAGGGTACAGCATTCTTACTCCCTCTGCTTCCCCAACCTCTCATCTTAAAAAATTATTAACTTTACATTTTAATTCTCATTCTGTCTGGTAACTGTGATTTCTCTTATTGTTTGTCTCAGCTCTGCATTTACACTGACTTAATGCTTCTACTTGGGTATGGCTCTCCCATTCAGAATCGTTTATTTTGGTTAGTCTTTTAACTGGCTGACTTTCTGATTGTTTGTTGTTGTTTTCTTCTAGTGGTCTCAAGAGTGTTCTGTTCTCTGAATGTTTTCACATGAGTAAATGTGTGCTCCTAACTTTTGGACTTGAGTGATAGCTTGGCTGGGTATGATAGTCATGGGCTGCATGCTAGAGCTGACTGGCTATTGCTCCAGGGTCTTCCGGTATGTGAGGCAGCGACATGAGAATTATCAGTCTGGTCTGATGCCCTCCCCTGAGTCCCTCCTTCTCGTGGTGATTTGCTTTCAGTGCATACAACTCTGCCTTTGTCATTGATCTTTAGTAACTTTATTAGAATCTGTTTCCGCTGCATGCAGTGTTAACATTTTCTGTAACTGTGCTCTTGCATCCTGCAGATGGACTTCTTTAATCATTTTCTTATGGGGAATGTCTTTGTCATTCTGCATGGGTATTATATTTTGCATTCTGTTTGTTGGATTCTCCACTTTAGAGACATTTTATGTTGGATAGTTTTGTTGSCATTTCATTTTTTGTTTTTCTTTATCTGTGCTTTTCATCTGTACTGTGCATTCCATGCATAACTTTATTGAGTTGTCAGTACAGTTTTCAGCAGTGTTTTCTGTACCTCAATATTAACTTAGTKACTAGTTTTGTCAGGTTGTTTGATCCTCAGTTCATTGCTCTRTGCCTTTAATCTCCTTTTCCATTTTTTATTTCCTCATTTCATCTGTGGGTTCCTGTTTGCTGAATTAATGTTCTTAGTTTATTGCTTTRGAGCACAGAGCATTTGTGAGAAGTTCTTTTTCTTGGAGTGTTCATTTCATTCTAGGTTGTATCTCCATCTCCAGAACCTTTGTCCTCCTCTGTTTCTTGTCTCTTCCTGTTGATTGTGTGTGTGGTTGCTGTGCTGTTTCTCCTCCTCTTGGGCATTGTTATGACAGACATTATAGAGGCAGTAGTGTGGTGGGGCATTTTAACTTGAGGGCAGAGCAAAGAGGACTGGTCTGCTGCTGGTCTAGGCATGGGGTGTGCCAAAGAGGTGGGATCCTCTCCTTGTGTTTCTCCCAGGTCTSCTCTAACCTAGGATGAAGAGTGGAGAGTGGATCTTGCTCTGGATTTGGAGCTTTTGATATAAGTATTTGAATTTTTGTCTCCTTGCTAGGCTGGCTCTGGGGGAGTTGGCAGAGTAGGGAGCTAGCTCCATCTTTGCTCTATTCTTAAACCCACCCCTTCGAAACTATAGACATGCAGTGTCATTCTGAATGGCTGCCTAGGATTCAAGCCTGTGGCTGTAGCTCAATTTACTCGTCTGGTCCGTTATTAGATACTTAATTGGTTCTGATTTTTCAGTACTTTAAAAACAATCAAACATCTGTTCACTTCAAAGTTCCAGGACACTTGCCATCCCTGAAGACCATTCATTTGAAATGTCTTGTGCCTGCTGAGCACCAGACACCTGTGTAGTGTTGGAGATTTGGCTGTCTCCTCCATCCAGCTTTACAGGGCCATGAAAGGACAAGTCCAGGTGGGAAGCAGGCTAGGACAACCAGAGGACAGAGCTCATAATGGGGAGTGGCTGCATGGAAGGTTATGTACATATTGCCAAAGGGGACATATGTAGACTGGCAGGTTGCCTACCGGAATGTTTGCTCCAGCTCCCTGGTTGCCCACGCCCCAGCAGGACAGCAGTTCTGGGCAGTTTAGTTCCTGGACCCTCTTTCTTTTGAGCCGGGCTCTGCTTCTTGCAGAGCAGTTTGCCCTGGGCTGGATTTTTGTCTTAAGTCTGACACAGGCCAGGTTTGCCACCGCCTCGCCTTCTGCCCTCACCTTTCCCACTGAAGGTCCTGAGGAATGAATTGTTCTTTTCAGGGAACTCTTCTTGGGCTAAGGATGAGAGGTGGGGGTTATATTTTGGTCTGGAGCATCTGCAGGCATTACTTGGGCGTCTTGCAGGTTATTGACTTGCCATGGTTAATATTTCATTGTGTGTTGAGCATTGAGAGAGGATCCCTGCCCGGGAATTTGGGTCAGATAAAGTAAGAAAACAGAGAAAGGGCCCTGGTGAATCCAGCACACAGGTAGAAATAGGAAGAGCGGCCTGTGAAATGATCCCCATCTTTACGAGGCTCCTGTGTGGCAGGACAGGGAAGCACAGGGAAACCCTTATGAGTAAAGTTTTTTTCTTTTTCTTTTTTTTTTTAAACAGAGGTAGAAGATGGAGTTAGACTATTTCATGGGTGAACTGTGTCATTTGGTAAAAGGTCTGTGGATAACAGGTTGGAAGGAGGGACAAGTTGTTATTACTGTTTTAATTTAGCAGGAACCAAAGAATCCCAAGGCCTTTGAAGAGGCCTCGCTTTAGGGACAAAGATATGTTGTGATGAGTGGCAGAGTGGCTCAGGGCTTGTAGACAGGGGAGCATGCCCAGTCCCTCAGGTTAGAGCTCAGACATCCATTCCTGACCCTGGTGCCCAAGTCACCATCATTTACTGACTTCTTCCCTGTCTCCCTCATGGAAATGAAAGTTCTGGAAGTCATTGGCTGACGACCCTCCTATGCCCAGAACAGCACTGGGCATGGAGCCAGTGTGCAGTGAAGCCTGGGTAGGTAGATGGTGGGGAAGCATGGAAAGAAGGTGACCGAGGCCCCATGGTGAAGACTTGTAAGGGGAGAGAAGGGGATGTGTCCAGATGGCCTGACTGAAGGATTTTTTGACTTCCCAGTGGTGTAAAATCATAGCTATACATTCTGCTTTTCACTTTGATACAGTATTCAGTAAATTACAGGAGCTGTTGAACAGTTTTTGAGAAATGGTCTTTGTATAAGATGGTTATACAAATGCAGGGTGGTGGACGTGTTCTGAACATGTGGAAGGGAGCTTAGGCTAAGCTGTGGTGTTTAGTGGCCTAGGTAGTAAATGCACTTTATTTACAGTAATCTCAACTTATGATGAGTTTATTGGGATGCAGCCCCATTGTAAGTTGAGGAGCATCTGTAATTACA